ATAAGTATTAGTTCGTGCTTCACTCCTTCCTTTCAATTTCCCATGCATAAAGCGGGAATAATGTTACGTGTCCCTCCCTGTTTAACTGGGGGTGAGCATCAAGAGGGCAAAATGACATGACTAACAATATACACCTGGCGTTCTTGGCATTAAAGGCACTATCATCTATGGGGTGTGTCTGTGTGCAGGGTATAAATCACAGAGCCCTGAATTTTTTTTAGTAAGAGGATCATGAATTTAACGTCTTCTCTCTTGCCCCCCCAATATCACATACGCAATTTGCCTTGTGTTTTCAGCAGATCTCACGTAAGAGTGCCACAGGTTGTGGCATGCCAGCCTTTCTCCAGTTCCTAGAATCACTATTCAAGCATGGACTGTTTCAACAGCTTCACTGTTTGCAAAACCCAATACCACATAGAAGTCGTCTGTATCTGCAAACGTAAGCATGTCCTAGGGTTTGATGAATTAGAGAAATGGGTCCCTCTTCCCTCACCCTTCATCCAAACTCTACCTTCTCACCTGTTATTTTTTCCAACAGAGAAACATCTTGCACTTCCTGGGGCAAAGAAGCAATCTTCTGCCGGACAGTAGCATCGCCTGATGCAGCATTTTCCAGGTCCTGCAAAGCTTTGATCAGTTCTTCAGTCTGTACAATGAAAGCACAAGCAACGCTGTCCATTAAATATGGGATTTAAAGAACGTTAGCCAGAATTAAATGAGGTGAAGGAAAATTCTAAAAATGATCACGCTCCTGACATTTACAAAAACATTGTCCTCAGTACCAGAGCCTATACTGAGGCCAGTGATTGGATTGGATGATGGATTCTAAGACAATGTACAAAGTTAATTTTTCTAAGTCAATAGCAGAGCATGAACAAATTCTACATAACCTGAAAAAAAAAATCTTTTTAAAAGAGCATGTTTTTGGCAACTTAAAAAAAAGGAGCCTGGTTCAAATTGCTTAGTTTCAAATAATGTATGATTTCTAATACAGAATGGTCTGGTCTCCGGTATAGCATAAAGGCGTGTGTACCAGATGTTGAACAACTGTGTGCTGACTGATTAAATGAAATGACACTGGGTATTGAGGAGGGCACATTCTGCATGGAGCACAGGGTGTTATGCACAAACAATGAATCATGGAACACTATATCTAAAACTAATGATGTAATGTATGGGGATTAACATAAGAATAAAAAATAAAATAAAATAAAAAAAACAACAACAAAAACCTCCCATCTAAAATTAGCAAGCCCCAATTTCAGTTTTGTGTTCATCAAAACAGCTTCATTGTTCTGGTTAATTACAAAATAAGTTTTTTCTGATGGAAAAAAAAATAATAATAATAAATAAATAAATAAATGAAATGACACTGCCTACTTCAATTCTTTCTCGGATTTGCTTTACAAAATGAGTGTCACAAAGATGACAGTTTCCATTTTGGCAGCCACTCCCCAAATTAAATGTGTCAAACTCATTAATTACAAACAAAGGTGAAAAAGACTAAGAAAAGAGCAAACCAAGAACACATACTTTGTACACTAAAAAGGGTAATTTTAAATCATCAGAAAACAGGATGCCTGGGTGGCTCAGTCAGCTAAACCTCTGCCTTCAGCTCGTCATGATCCCAGGATCCTGGGATCGAGTCCCGCATCGGGCTCCTGCTCAGCAGGGAGTCTGCTTCTCCCTCGCCCTCTGCCTGCCGCTCCCCCTGCTTGTGCTCACTCGCTCTCTCTGACAAATAAATAAATTAAATATTAAAAAAAAAAAATCATCCGAAAACAATGAATGCTGACAGGTTCGCCAGTCCATCATGACCCAGGAGTAAGAAACTGGCCACGTAGACGGTAGTCCAGTTATCCTGAAAGTTAGTAATTCAGGCTGGCCCCCTTGGAAGTTTTTAAATGCAAAGCTACATGGCCTAACACTGTTTTCACTTAACCCACCATCTAATTCAACATTTTAACGTAACACAGACCAGACACGCTTCCTATTTACATGGACCTTAGCCACACCCATGTATAATAAAGTAAAACTGTTTTAGGCAAAAAGAGGCCATGTAACTCAGTAAAGATCATGGTCTCTGAGGTCAGTCAGACCCAGATTCAAATTAAGACACTGGGCAAGTTAATCTCTCTTTGAGCCTCACTTTCTTTGATGGTAAGTAAAGTAAGTAAAGTAAATCAGTAAGTAAAGAAATAAACAGCAAAAATTAACCAATCACACAGAGCTCATCAGCTAATTTATATGAAGGGCTAAACAATGCAAATATATAATTAATTGGCTCCATTTTAATATTTAAATAGGTGATAGTATAGCAAATTTACTATTGCCACACAGACTACCCTAGAAACTAATGAATTGTCTACTTATATAAAATAACCATGTATAGGAGAAAAGTCATGGCAGAGGACATTCAAATGTCTTTGTGGCATTATCTACCCTTCCAAAAAATCTACTTTTTGAGAATATTTTCAAGTCCTAGGAGTGAAACAAAGCCAAGTCCAAATACCGTATAACACATAAATCCATCCAGACTCATGGCATTCAAAGACAAAGGCAAGCCTGCTATCTGGCAAGCTCTACTGGGTAGATCTTGCACCCAGTGCCCTGAGAGCTGCCCTCTGGTGATTCCATACTATTGGTCCCTGGCGCCACCCTGTGGCCATAATCTTCAACTAGCAGTCCCTCCACTAAGCCACTGTGTCCTACTCTCTGGGAGTCCTGACATACCAAGAGGGGTCCTGCAGAAGGATCTTGGGGAGAGTAGCTTCCAGGGTAGTCATCATCCTCCTCCTCTTGTATCTGCTGAAAAGTTCGCTTCAGAGATTTCTTCTCCTCTGTTGCTAGAGGAAAGAAAAAGGGCACAAATTTGGGTCATGAGAGCCTGTGCAGGTAAGAGTCAAAGGCTATGAACAATGGGCCACATGCAAAAAAAATGGCAAAAGGGGTGTACATTTCCAAAGATGGCTTAACGTTAGCCTATATGCTAGTTATTTTAAGTTGGTGGTAGTTCCCTACATTACCGAAGAATCAAAAATGGTCTCAGGTCTGTCATCTCGGACTGACTCACTGTTAAAAGACTACCAAAAACAAGCATCTAAAAATGAAACTTACCAAACTTAACACATTTAATTAAAAAGCTTACCTCTTAAAAATAAAAGTTAACAAGAGAAGCAAAGTGGTTAAGAAACCCATGAGACAATATAATGAAGGAAGCCAATGTAAGGCAGGGTTTGTAGAAAATACATTGCATATAAAATGAAACACTATACACTTTGCAAGATAATTCAGAAAATAAAAACAGGTATTCCTCACTTTTCTAAAGCTTGCTTTTATGAAAGACCTACAGTAATAGTACCTGTTTTCACTAACCAAAAGAAATTCAAAGAGGATTTTCACTTTCACAAAGAAAGGCACAAAGTGAAAATAGTGGTCAGCATGTGTGTTGCAGGGAGCGATTATTATAGAGGCAGCATGCACCCCAAGCAGCCAGAGCGGCCCCGCCAAGCTCTTTCCCAGCAACTACACTCGGCATCTCAGCATCAAGCCACCAGAGCTTTGAGCTGTATCTGTGAGCATCTGTGCTTTATCTCGATTTATTCTGTGCATCTGTTAGCAAGATGTGGCCTGAGGTATCAGAAAAGCCTGAGAGAAGTTATTTTTGGGGTCTGGGAATGTTCAAAAATTTTTCCATACAAATTAATGGTAACTGCTTCTTCACTTTATGCCATTTCGGCCTAGGAGATGTTTCATAGGAATGGTCTAATTTCAGATAGCAGGGAAAACCTGTAGTAGAGAGAAACCTATCAATAAAATCGTGTCAGAAATTGTACACATCATGTTCTTTAAACTCTCCCTTTAGAAACAAAATAAACTTTATTTTACCTTAAAATTAAAAATACCCGTTGCTGAGAAATATGACTGATACAACTGAGAGAAGTTACTTAAGTCACTATTTTAAAGTTAACCACTTTTGAGGCAAACAGGTTACATTACATTTCTTATTATTTGTATTGTATGCTTTTAAATGGCTACAATAAAAGTGCCTGTTCCAAAATCATTACTTTTGTATCAAATTGGACAATACAAAATAAATGCCAAACATCTGTGGGACGTTAAGTCTAAGTGACACGTTCAGGCTTGGAAAGTAAAGAAACGCTGGTAACATGTGGCAGGCACGGCAACAGCTTCTGTACATTGAGTCCTTCAGGCAACTCTGAGATCTACTATCTCCAGCTTGCAGGGGAGAAAATGGAGGCCCCGAGAAGTTCCATACTGGTTTAAAGGTGGGACTTTCAAAATCTGTGCGCTTCCCACTGTAGTCAAATTCCTCCGCAGCACACACTCTCTCATCTGCCAAAGTAGGGGTCACCACGCACCTGCCTCTGAACTCTGTGAGTTATAAACAGAATAACGTACACGTCTTGCTTCATTAAACACTTTTTCCTGAAAACAAGGATGTAGTTCCTGGTCCTACCTTACACATTAACTGACCAAACTATGCTTGACGTGAAAGCCAAGTCAATATCATGGGTTTGTTCCTCTGTTCTATTAAATAAAGGAAAACAGCAACATTTGCATCAAGGCAGCCCTCACTTTGCAAGATTCTATTATGCATGGATTTGTTACCAAGGTTTCAACAACACCAGTCCCCCGACACCACGGTTCAAATTTCAGTTACTGCGGCATATTCACTCAGAGTAACTCCATAAAGAACAAACTTTGCTGCTAACTTCAATCCACAAATCACTGCGTAAGTAATAGAAACGCATCATGATCAGTGACCACATCACTTCTTTCAGGTCACTGTTTGGTCACCGCACCGCTGTTATTTCAGTTCACACACAAACAGCAGTGTTTGGCTGTGTTGTCTCCCAGGGATCAAATTCGCATGACATTTCATTAAAATGAATAATCAAAACAGGGAACTGACTGAAAATGACAAAGATGAAAGAGAAGCCCCGAAATCAAAACTAAAGCTCATGTTAGAAGTGAACGGAACGTAAAGGGAGCTGGCAGAAGACACAGCTGGCCGCGGGGATGCTGGCACGGCCATACCCTTCCAGAAACTCTAGGTCCGCAGCCAGAATCACCTGGTGAAAGCCAATTTATCAAAATAAGTGAAGAAATCAGTTGTGATGACAAGAACGACCGTGTCCCAGAGGAAGTGATGCTGACAAAACTCTTCACGTTACAGGAACTATCCAACACACCTCATGACACGGAGAACACTAAGGGTAAACTGCCGAAAGCCGACCCAAACTTGGGAGGATGCTTGCTCCATACCATGGACTACACAAGAAGGCAAGCTCTCTCTGGTCAAACCCCTCTTGTGAAGCTCATTACAAAGAAATAAAGCACTTTAATTCTCAATGTTCCTAGTGTTTTATATTCTAGCATGCTAGGTATCTATTAGTGTTACTATCTTTTTTGTTCCCTATAGATCTGTAATCAACAGTGAGTTTTCAATTCTTTGATAAAAAAATTTTATAAGTCAGAACAATCAAAACTTTTCCCATTGATTATTAAGATCATTTTGCATGGTTTCGGCTTACATAGTCATTTTTACAGTCCTGCACTATGCAAAACAAGGACTGCTATATTTGTAAAACAGAAAATCTAATGGTATATAATTTGCATATGAGATATCTAACAGTACTTAGCACACACTAGCTGCCTAATTAATGTGCAGGGTGGTATGACCCTCATAGACACTTAGCCACCACAAAGCATCAAAGTGGCCACGCGTTAGGAGTTGCCACTAAAATATAAGCACGTAAGCGAAAAAATTTTTTTAATATTTTTTGTTCACTTCCAAGCATCTAGAACAGTGCTATGAAATAACTGTTAAATATACTAAAGAAGGCAGAAAAATTACAAAACTTGAATCCTTCAGTTTCAAACTCTCATACAGAAGTTATTATGTATAAAAACCACATACCACTTTGTACCTTAGGACCCTCAGAATCACTGAATTTGGGCACTGGAAGGCCTTAGATAGACCTACATCTTTGCTTTCCCCACCTCGTTTTTCATGAGCATATATCCAGGCCCACAGGCTGTGGTTTGTCCACAATCAAGGAACTCGTTAGTGTAAGTCTCACCTCTATAGCCAAAGTCACCTGCCCCCTAAACTGGAGTACTTTTTACCACTTCATACTGGCACTCACTCATAGCATTACAAGACTGAAATCAAACTAATGAAAATAATTGCAGGCCCATTTCTGTCCTTCGCCATCCTGATGGAAGAAGGTGTAATAAGAGATAACCACTGTCATCCTACTTCAGTTCTCTCCTATTTCCACTTGGAGAACCTATTGGAAATGAATTATTCATCATTTTCTTCATAAGGTTCCTCCTTTCCTGAGCTACCTACTCATACTATGAACACTTCCACTGGCCCCATCTTCCAAGTACAATGCCTTGGAGACCACCAGAATCTCTCCTAAAGTCCCAACTTCCAGCAGACTCTACACTTCTGAGATGTACCTTACAGATCTTTCCATTCTGTTTCTTCCCATCGCCTCTTATCAGAAATGTGCCCTTTTCCATGCCTTGTGCAGACCACTGTCCCAATTGGTCTCCCTGCCGCTAGTCACTCCTTTTCCAACTTAGATTACACTCTTATGAAATGAATGGCCCACTGTGCCTCTACTCAAAAACCCGGAATGGCCTCTAACGATATTACAGTTTCTACCTATGCTCAAAGCCTACCCATGGTAAGGGCAGCAGCATCTTGAGCCATCATTTTCCTCTACTCCCACAGCACCTGGCCCTTGTTGTGCTGTATGGCCGCCGGCAGGCACAGGCCTTACCTCTCTGATAGAAACATTAAGTATCTTATTTCTTTATATCCCTATAATACCTAGAAATGTGTTACCAGACCCGAGTTGGAAACTTCTTGAAAGCAGAGGTGGCACAGAGCTTGGAAGACGCTAGCGCTGTACCAAAAATGACCATATGCCTTCGTTTACACAAACAGGACAGCCTGCTCTGTTAACTGTCCCCTGACTCATCTGTACAAAGTTAGCAATTATAATGCCCAGCATTCTCAAACTAGTCAGGCAGCTACTAAAAATAGCCTAGGAGGGTGCCTGGGTGGCTCAGGCGTTAAGCGTCTGCCTTCGGCTCGGGTCATGATCCCAGGGTCCTGGGATCGAGTCCCACATCGGGCTTCCTGCTCAGTGGGAAGCCTGCTTCTCTCTCTCCCACTCCCCCTGCTTGTGTTCCTGCTCTCGCTGTCTCTCTCTCTGTCAAATAAATAAAATCTTAAAAAAAAAAAAAAATAGCCTAGGAAATCTGTCAGTCCCACTCCTATTACTGAATTTAAGACAAGGCACCCTCCTACTATCAATTCAGCTTCTGACCATAGCATTTACACTTGCTTTTTGACTCACTCAAACACTCTGTTTACAGGCAGGGCAAACACTACGGGTGGCCCCAATCTGCCTGTCCTCATATTATACACTCTCTATCCTCCAACCTGTCCCTGTGTCTCTAGGGGTCTTATACTTGGCTAACATTCAAGCAATCCTGGTTCCCTTAAGCATTTATAATACATCTCTTGGAGACCTGACTGTGGTAGAATTTTAGACACTACAGCAGACTACAAAATTAATTTTAAGGCAAAAAGTTGGCCTGAAGTCTCCCAAACACTTTATAAAATGCAGCCATCTACTTGTAAAGCTAGGTCTTCCAAAGAATCCACTTGAAATTTTCTGGGACTAAAAAACAAACAAAATAGAACAAATAAAAATAAAAAACAAGCGGAAAAAACCCCAATACCCACAGATTTTATATTACTTTCATAAAGAGAAAAGAATCAGGAAATATTGTTTGTAACAGCTCCCGCATTCTTTGTTCTCTCCCTGCAAAATAAAGGCAACTTTTAAAAGGAACACATTAAACTTTACTCACGGAAAGAGAAAGCTCTGCAGCCAAGGTCTGACGCTGGACCTAGTATTCTGAAAGCACTTCACCAGTACCGTCTCAAACTGAGTGGCTAGCTCTAGACTTAAACCTGGGGAAGCTGGGCCTAGAGCTTGCGCTCTTAACCACTATGGCTTCTAATCTTGCACAAAATCTGGGGAACTAAAAATACTAACAATTCTCCTCCTATGTTTGCCAGTGGATCATATTGAGAAACTCAGAATATTAGATATTAGAAACAGAGAGTGGGGCTCAAATAAAAGTCATATTGTCACTTCATTAATAACATCTTACCTATGTTATCTCAAGTAATCTTTAGGATAATGCTATGAGGTGTTACTACTAATAGCCATACGGTACAGTGAAGAACCTGAAGCTCAGAGAGGTCTAATGCTATGCCCTAGGTCACACAGCTTGGAAGTGACAGAGCAGGGATTCATACTCTGGAAGCCTGGTTTTAAACCCTTGCTTGGAATACCTAAACTACCTATACTAAGGTCCGGAAAGTTGGGTAACCTGCTCATGAATTCATACCCTAATTCAAATCTACTGAATACATGTGCTTCCCCAGCAAAAAGTATGGTGTGAAGAACACAGGCTTTAATGTCATACAGACCAGAACATGAATTCTCCACTTATTAATTATATCTGGACAAAATCACTATACCCTTTTGAGCCTTAGTATCTTCATCTGAAATATGAAAATACCAAATTCATAGAGGAGTTGTAAGAATCTAAAATAAATTAACATGAAAAGCAGCCAACAGGCTGGAACATAATAGATGCTCAATAAATGCTATTTCCTTTGTATCTACCTTTCTTTTCTAAATCCTTCTACAACTGTAGGATACTGTGTGAGTCATGTGTGACTTAAGTAAATAATGAAATTCCATTCAGTCCAGTGACAGCTTGAGTATGCCCAAGAACAGAGAGACAACTTTAGAACACCCGGGTCTTACACATGGGGAAACGGGTATATAAACCCAAGTTCCACTTTTCTAAAACAAAATTCCTAAGCTTATTTATTCTCTACTGTCAAAGTTCCACAGGAAAATTTTTATTTCAAAGGTAAATTCTAGAGTTGTCTCAAGACAAAGAAATATCCATGAATCAAAGCTGAAATATAAAAGGACTATTTAATTTTGGAAATAAACTTCTGGAGAACTCATCAATATTTTGAAAGGACTGAGGTAAAATATTTTGATAACTCAGGTCCAAAGAAGATGGTGAGGAGACAGACTGAGTTAGCTGAGACTAATATACATGTTGGAACCTTTGGTATGTGTTTCCATCTTTACAGCACAGAGAAAGAGAAATCACCTTCAGATCAGCATTATCCTCCACATGGAGGAATACTGCCTCAACGGCTGTTAATGTCTAGACGCTCAAAAATATCAGAAACCCAACAGAGCTATTTTCAAATCTACCACTGCCACAAACTCCCCAATTTACCTGACTGCTCCCTAAGGGCAAAACTATTTCCCCACCCTCTGCTCAGTCCTATAGCATTTAGCATAGCCATTTACTCAAAGCACATGTCTGGCAAATGCTTGTCGAATTGAAATTCAACACTTAGCTTCCAACACTGTCTTTCAGAGCTCCCCTACTTGCCCAAAGGTGTTTTAAAAAATCAGCACTGTTTACCAATGGTGTCTAAGAGTAGAGAAAAGAATGCTGAATAATTCCCCAACACTGTGCAGAACACCTCCAAAAGATACAATATAAACACTACCAGAATCCAAAGTAGGGAACACCTTGCTTTTAAGAAGCTACCACCAGAGTGACCTCAAAATTGTTTCCCATCAACTCTTAAGTAAAACAACAATGACCTGCAGTCTGAAAGCACTTACGTCATTCTTACAAAGCCTCTAATTTGTAGTTTTACGGGAAAGTTGCCCCATCTTAAAATACGTGTAAATTCAGACCTGGAAGAGATCATGAAAGGTACACAATAAAGGCCCGCTGAATGAATGATATTATCAGGTAAACTAATCATGGTTGAATGCTATAGCAGAGGCATGTACAAAGTACCAGAGGAACATGGAGGGAAGGGCTACATGTGCCCAAAGTAGGGAAAATGTCAAAATGAGAAGAGCATTCCTAAAGAATGAGTTCACCGCCCAGTGAAAGGGGCAGAGGACATTTCAGGCAGAGGTAACACCAGATGCAACGGAAGAGGTACCCTGAGAGCATCCAGAAGGGAACCTGTTGGGTATGGCCAAAGACCAAGGTGTATGTGAGGAAATGGCAGAAGCATCTGGAAAAGTAAACTAGCTCAGATTATAAAGGGTCCTAAGTACTACGTTAGTACTTAGACTTGTTCCTCCAGGCAATGAGTTCGTGTGCAGTCAGATCAGATCTGTAGCTCAGAAACACATCGTGCCAACTAGAATTAAACCGCAATTAACCACAAACCCACAAACCAAATAATGTTTGATCTTAATCCTCTTTAAAGAAAAAAAGAACATAAACTCTTAAGAGGAGTTGGTGAGGTTCACACACATACATGTACACGCTTCTGGAGGATATCCTGGGTTCAGTAAAGACCAAAATCAATTATAGACAGCAAGCTGACAAACATCAAAAGTATGTTCCAAAACCACATCAATATTTAATGAAACCAAGCTCTAAAAGAGCTAAAAGACATATTCAAGACCCCACAGTAGTCAGTGGCAGGGCTAGGGCAAAATCTTAGTCCAAGGTGCCTCCTAGTTCCCCACAACTAAACAACGTTGTTCCTTTCCCTTGTGCAAGGAAACTCTCTGCAAGGCAGAAGAGAGCCAAGGAGAATACACAGCAAAAGTTAAGGGTGTGAGATGATGAATAGCATGAATACTAGAACCAGGCTTACACGCTGCGAGCACTACATAAATTCTCACCATCATTTATGTTCATCTCTCTGAAGAATCATATAATCGCTGGTGGTTCACAGCAACCCCCACTGCAGCTTTTCATATGTGATTCGAAAGTAGGCAAAGACCAAGAGCTGTAAACATGTGGTGATGTTTCTACCTTTGGGGGGAGGGCTCTTGGAGTCCTCCATAGACAGCTTCAGCTGCTGTATGAACTCGCCGCCATACACACTTCTTTCTTGCCAGATGTTCAGCAATCTTTCTAAAGGTTTTTTACAGCCTTCATCTGCCTCTCTGCCCAGAAAAGACGAAAAGATAGATATAAGCTTAAGATTTTTTGTGTTTAATTAGGACAGACCTACTTTAAAAATAACAACAACTGACTAAATGATTTACATATTTAAACACAGAAGGAAGAGTAAGATACACATTGTGATAAACAGATACCCAAAATTTGACCAGAAACTACATTCTTCCTGTGGTGCGTAGGGAAGACGGAGCACGTTATACAAGTAATCTGTCTTTATCTCCTTTGAAAGATGGGGCAAATAGGGCAAAAAGCCAATCGCTGATTATTACAGAGAATTATCAAAAATTGATCATTTCAAATGTGACAGCTTGCTTCTTAAGAAGACATTAATCGAAATGTAGTGCCAGACATTCTGCTGGAAATAAAAGGGGGCCAAAACCTTTAAGGGTAGAAAAAAAAATGATTTAAAAAAAACCAAATGTTTAAAAATGAGGAATAAATTCACCACAACCCATCAATGCTAACACACCAACACTTCTACATGCCTTGCAAATACAATCATACACATATACCAAATCTGAACTCAAATTAACTACTTCATCATTATTTTAATTCTGGGTTAGGTACGTAGTACCCATTCTCACAAAGATGTCTAATGGGTAATCTTAGAACACACCAAGCATAATATAGCCCTTTGTAATTTATATCTGAGAGAAGCTACACCATTTTTTCCCTGACATACTGTACTCTGGAAACAGAGTATTTTCAATGAGATAACTAGAACTAGCACTCAGTGTGCAACAGCTGCTTACCAGAAAATGTCAGACAGCAAGTGGAAGAGTGTGGGAAGACTTCCTGAAAGGAAAACAAATTCCCTCACCATCCATGGTGTTCTATGACTTGTTCTGGTTTGTAAAGCGGCCTGGGTGTCAATGATCTTACCCTGAGTGACTTCCAACAAGAAGGGATACCCTGACACCTTAGTTTCTAAGCCAAGATCTTTAACAGGAACTTCAAGAAGAAAGAGGTACAAAGGAAGTATGCCCTCATGGCACTTTTCTAAAACTTGTGTTAACAGTCAAGGTAACATGAGGGTTCAGCTTGATCTGGTCAGATTACATCATTTATGAAATATTAGTGGGAAATTTTCCTGCACTGGGGTCAAAGGACTAAATCAGGGTACATACTTTTTTTTTTTTCCGGTCAAACTTTTTTTTAGTCAGAGGTGAGGGGGGAAAAAAAGGAAAAAAAATTTCAATGGTAGTTTATAAAACTTAAAGCTATGACTGAGTTATTTGATATTGGTGATAAAAACACTTTTACTCCACCTACAAAATATATCTAGAAACAAACTGCTTCTCACCTCTTCCTCTGCTGTCAAGCTGGTCCAAGCCACTATTACCTCTTGCCTGATTACTGGTCTCCCTGCTTCCACCTTTAGCCTCCTACAAGCTAATCTCAAGCTTTAAAAATTCTGTTGCGTGAAGGCAGATTATGTCACTCTTTTGCTCAAAACTTCCAATGGTTCTTCCCATTCAACCCCAGAATACAAGTGAAAGTTCTCATAAAGCCTACAAAGCCATTCTCAACACAGCTCATTATTTCTCTGGCCTCACCTAGCCTCTCCCTTCTTCGCTCCCCAACAGCTACCCTGGCCCTCTTGCCTGAGGGCCTTTGCCTAGAACCACATTTCCTTACTTGGCGGCATGGCTCAGGCATCCCTTCCTAATCTCCCTATTTAAAATTACACTCCCTACCCCTACTTAATTTTTCTCCATACAACTTGCTTCTGCTATGCTATTCATTTTACTCATTGTTTATTTGATCTCATTTTTTTTATTTATTTGACTTCCCATAAAAAACTGTCCATGTGAATGCAACTTCCACAAGGGCAGCGATTTGTCCTCTCCCCCGCCCCCTGCTACCCACCCTAGAACAGGCACAATATTGGCCTCATTTTAATCTTTCTCGAAAATTTTTAGTTAGATTTCGATAGGCCATACAATTAGTTACCTTTCAACAATCATCTTTCCACAACAAAGTCACTCCTATCAGACATCAGCTAAACACTCACCTGCTCATTCAGTGAGGTTTATGAAATACTGTGTTTGTAATACAAAGACCAAGGCCTAGGGCCTGACCTCTAGGGCCTGATCCAGTAGCCCCTTCCCTTTCCACACCCCAACCAGGGCACTAAACCACATGTATCTTCTGCTCAGAACTTGCTCCCTCTCATCACGCGTGTGCCTTTGCTCATGGTATCTCCTCTCCTTTGAATGGAACCCACAAAGGAGAACAAGGTGAAGAGGGAGAAGTTGGAAGTAATGCAGGTGGCTGAAGTATATAAGGAATATGTGGAAATAGCAGAAGAATCTGGAAGGACAGAGTGGAATTAGATGAGGGCCCTGAACACCATATTAAGTACGTGGCCTTTATCCTGAAGGCAATGGGAAGCCTCTGATGAGATCAAATGAATGACTTAGAAAATAAAATAATTAGTATAACCAAATCACAACTAATCAGAACTTAACTGGTTGATGCTTTTAACATATAACCTGTTCTCTGCAAATTCTTTGTTCACTTAATAGAAAGAGAAACCTATCATGACAATAAATTCTTATCAAGGATTTAGTTAAGGGGGGACACAATGCAGACTAAATATTTGGGACTCAATTTAGACTAAGACTGATTTGGGGTACAGATTCAGCCACATTACTATATGCAATGGAAACTGATACAAAAACCTGTAAAATCCAAGTCATTTTCATAAGGCTTTTACCACTAAAGGCAAAAAAAAAAAAAAGCAGCTCTAGTTTAACTGGTGAATGTAATTAGCCAAGATAGGCTAATTTCTGGAGCAATATAGTAAATCAAAGTTTTGCCAGGTAAGTTTCAAAGCTACAGATAAAACAGTCAAGAAATCTTTTTACTCATGAGGTTTTGCCCAAAGTAGCTCCAATGAACTGAAGTCCCATTAGCATTTGGAAGTGGGTACAACTAAAGCAATAAAGTAGTTTCATAACAGACAGAACTATCTTTTCAGGTTGCATTAACTCCATTCTAAACTGAGAAATCTTTAAGTGAAAAAACACCAAAAAGTCCTTGCCATTAATCAATGAATAAGCAGAAAATGATAAGTATAACTTACATGAAACACAACTTACTATGCATTTTTAATTCTAATTATAAATTTGATCTGAAAAGTATAAACTATGTATTATACACACAGAATTGCTGCTTTAAGTGTCAGCTGAGGCCTCACCAAGCTAACCTGGGGACCTTTTCTTCCTCTGTAGGTCTAACGGCACATCCTTGGCATACCCACTATAATTTGTGTGTTTCTGTCTTATCCCCTGCACAGTAGCCCTGTGATAAGTCTACTAAAGGTGGGAATTCTTTCTAAATAACCCCAGCACTTCCATCAGAGCCTCCTGTGAAACTGGAGCAGAAATGTTCCATTGCCAATCATGCAGGAAAGAGCAAGCCTGAGACTGCCACCCTTAGAAAGGCCTGCTCACCATGCTGGCTCTTGGCTGGCATCTGGAAGGAGTGTTCCTCAATTTCCTAACTGATAATCATGGTTTATTGTGCCTAAACTGTTTGTGCAAACAATATAATTTATGCTGAATACCTGCTTTCTTTCTGAGAGTTGGGAATTTTGGCAGAGGGTACCTGTGGCCAACACCAATAAAAACCCTGGGCACTGAGTCTCTAATGAGCTTCCCAGGTACACAACACTTCACACATGTTGTCACAACTCAAAAATGGAGGAATTTAGTATGTTTTGTGTGACTCCACTATGAGAGGACTCTTGGAAGCTTATATGTGGTTTCCTCTGGACTGCGGCCCGCGCAACTTTTCCTTTGCTGATTTTGCTTTGTATCCTTTCACTGTAATAAATCATAGCCATAGGCACAACCATACTGTGAGTCTTGTGAGCCCTCCTAGCAAGTCACCAAACCTGGAAGTGGCCTTGGGAATCCATGACACAATAGTAAATAAGTATGTATATGGTGATAACTCCAAATTTATGTCTCCAGAAATTAATTTCCTACTGAGCTTCAGACTATTTCATCCATCTACCTATCTGGCATCACCCCCTTGGAATATCTACTAGCCATCTCAAACTTAGCATGGCCAAAACAAAACTCCCAACTTCCTCTACCACATCTTTTCCCCAAACTTCATCTCAGCAAAGAGCACTTGCAGCCATCCTCTTAGTCATGTCAAAAACCTAGAGATAATCTGATTTCTCTTTTCCTTCATGACCAGTTCCCACTCAACTCCCACAAATCCTATCAGTTTTATGTGGGGGAGGTGAGGCAAATCCATTCACAAAGTAAACATTCGATAATCTGGAAGCTTACTATCGTCTCACTGCTCTGAGTCCTAGCCAATGTCATCTCTAGCCTGTAGTAGAGCAATACCCTTCATAGGCATGTCCTTGGCCTTTATAATCCATTCTCCACACCAAGGCACAGGGACCTTTTAACCATGTGATGGAATATATCTTTCCCCTGCTTAATACCCGTCACTGACATCCCATCAGAATAAAATCCTCTCTCCCAAGGCTTATAAGACATAAGTGACTGGCACCTGCATACCTCTCTGATCTTATCCGGATGCCGCTTTTCTCTTTGCTCAACACAACTGTTTTAACCACACTGGCCTTCATTCTGATCCTCTTAACATGCCAAGATTATTTCTACCTTAGGTTCTTTTTAATAGCTGTTTGTTCCTACTTCGCATGATTATCTCAAATGTCATTTCCTTAGAGAGGGCTTCCTTAACCACACTAGAACAGATCCCACTCCAGAATGTCATTCTATTTCATCATGTCCATATTATCACCCTCTGGAAGTATCTTGCTTGTTTATTTGGCCTTGCCTGACTTGCTCACTGCTACTCCTCTAGTGTCTGCATCAGTACTTGGGACATAGAAGGCACTCAAATATATGTGGAATGAAAAACAAAGTGCACAACTATCTCCAAACTCAGAAGAAAATAAGAAGGCATTTGTGTGGGGGCACCTGGGTGGCTCAGTCGTTAAGCGTCTGCCTTCGGCTCAGGTCATGATCCCAGGGTCCTGGGATAGAGCCCCACATCCGGCTCCCTGCTCTGAGGAAAGCCTGCTTCTCCCTCTCCCACTCCTCCTGCTTGTGTTCCCTCTCTCAGTGTCTCTCTCTGTCAAATAAATAAAATCTTTAAAAAAAAAAAAAAAAAGGCATTTGTGTGGGAAAAAAGTTCAAAGTCCAGTTAATTAAACTGCTATTCAAATTAAATCTAACCTATGAGCTTGGCTGCTTCCTCTGACTTCAGAGGTTTGGTTTGGGGTTTTTTTTGGGGGGGAGGGGGGAGATGTGAGGGAGGAGGTAGGAAATTACCATAAAAAGATTCCTAATCAATTTTGGTCAATATTAATGGGTCCACTATCTTTGTTCCTCAACTGGGCACAGAAAGCCACACAGACTACTTCTTACCCTCGATAAGGTACATCAGGATTAAAGTGGAGTTGCTGGCTTTTCTGTTCTAACAATGGTGGGAGGAAAGGGCTTAGAAACATGGGGATCCTGAACCTAATACCCAAAAAGGACCTTAAAAGAACAAGATGAAAAAAAAAAAGGAATTAGAGCTTTTTTTTTTTCATTGAAAAGGACCAGATTTACTTTCCCCATAATGCCACAGAAATCTGCCAAGACATTTTTACAGCGCCTCCTAGATAGGCTTTAAGATGTCATATCAAGTAGAAAAGGAATTTTCAATCCCAGTATTGCCCATTCCCCTTCTCCTACTCCTTTCTACTTACCCTTTCCTGGTTTGGGGGGCAGTTAATGATTATTGTTCAATTTTTAAATAAAAATGTTATGTGTACTATCCCTACAGGAAATTATTTTAGTCAATTCCCTATACCCAAATTAATTCATTCAACAAATATTTACTGAATCCTTAAATGCCAGGGCAGACCACAATGTTGCCCAACTCCTAGCACACCAATCACACCAAGGCTACATAAATGGTACTCCCTAAAGCTATGTAACCTGACAGCTCTGTGCCAGGCAGACATGTTACTAGGTGCCTGGGTACAGCGAAAAACAAAAAAGAAATGGTCCTTCTTGCCACAAAGTTTACAATTTAGCATATTTCCGTAACTGAGCAAAGACTGGGGCCTGGGCAGTGTACTATGTGTTTTCAAACAGACTGGTGTATTTCCGCCCCACAACAACTTCAGTGAGGTAGGTGATGTCATCCCCTTCTAATCAGTTAGGAAACTTGTAACTAAGGCGTTAGTAGAAGCTAAGTAACACATCCAAGGTCACTGAGAGTGCTGGAGGCAGAGCTACAGCCCTAGAAACTTAACTACATTTCCTCAAAACAAGAAAATGCCAGGGCTCCCATTTGAGATAGCTATTCTAGCAGTCTGTTCTAAGCTTACTCTGCTATAAGGATTCAGGATTGTTTCAAGATCATAATGCATTCTGCTTCTTCAGTGCCCATGTTCATCAAAAGTAGGGGCCAGCTACGTAGCTGACAAACAAAAATCTTTTCTCATCTCCAGAAAACTAGGTATCATTTCTTTCTTTGGGATTTTCCATTTTATTCCTTCAAAATTCTCAAATCTTTCATGGAATGCTGGACTCATTTATACATTTGAGGCCATCCACTTATACTTCAGACCCTAGTACAATTTTAACCAACTGGTCTCTTTTTTTTTTGCCCTTCCCAATTTCCTTTTGCAAAGATGTTTCTTATATGTTTACTAAATAATATTCTAGTGAAAAATAGTTGTTTGCTCCTCCTGGACAACTAACTTGTGTCTACAGAAAAGCAGTTTATTTTTAAATAAATAAAAGTGATTTATAGAAGTTTTAATCATATGAATTTCATGTGATATTAGCTACATGTGTGCTCTATGCTCTAGTCTTCTTGTTCACAAAACACAATAGTGGCAGAGATTTAATATGATATAGCCAGTGCAAGTATCTACTTTCCACACTGATAATTATTATCTTTGCAGTTACAGTAATGACCACTATTTTTAGTAAATGAGACATCTAGACATTTAGAAGGAAAGAAGTAAAAATGAAGGCATAACCAACTAATATCTTGCTATTAAGGTTTTGTTACTGGAATGGTTCCTGGTACTATTTAGCTTTGTTTTCTGACCATAAGCTAATGAGACAACTCAGCCAAGCCAAGCCAAACACCATAGTCAAGAAATGAATTCAATAAATGAATATATCTAGGGAAAAAGATGTTCAACAAGTGCTAGACTCAATCCTTTCAATGCATCAAAATGTTTACACGTCTGAGACAGTTCTTAAGGGTCCAGCAAAACATAAAACTGTAATTTGGCCTCTACAACACTCTGTAATGTAATTTGGCCTCTACAACACTGTAAAGCACAACCCTGTAAAATATGAAGTTGTCAATTTACAAAGGCTCTCCCAGAGAAGGAAAGAACAGTAAAGAGGAAAGGATAATGCATTTAAATACCAAACCAAACAAAAAAACCAGACAACATACCTGGCAACATGAGAAAAAGCATCCACAAGGACAGATTCAAATTCTCTAGTGAATTCAGGTCCTTTCCTTTTACTGTTTTGGATGACATCATTGGCTAAGTACAGAAAAGTAAGCTTTCTATTTGATTTGGCTGGAAAAAAGAAAAAAAGATAATTTAATTTACACCAAGGAAATTCTCAATCCACAATTCTGCCCTAAGCTACTCCTAAAGAATATTAAGCATTATTTACTTGAGATCAGAGTTCATTTATGTTTGAAACAACAACTTAAATAACTTATTGACATCACTAACAAAACAGGTTTGAGAATACAAGTTTGAAAAACAAAACAAGAATGGGCCATCTTCATTTCTGTAATATTTTAACAAGAACAATTGATGGTAAAAATAAAGATAATCCAAAGAAAATTCCTAAAGGATAAGCATATCCTCAAGAAGACATATTAAAATCAAGGTTTTCAATTATTCTATTGCAAAGATGAGCATTTTTAATTCACTCTTAATTACCAAATACTGCAGAATGAAAAGACTGAGCCAGGTTTCAGTTTTAAAATAGATTCTTATAATTTATGTTCCTACACTGATGATTTCTCTTTGAACACTCCAATAACAAACATCAGTCAGTGATATCAATTCTACAATCCAGAGAAATCTCTAAATGCACCAATGGATATTTATCTCAAATATAAATATATATTAATACTACGTTATTAATGAAAATTTAAAGATATCTGAATTCTGGATATGCAAAATTATGGCTCCCACAGAAACCGTAATTCTTCTCTCTTATACATACTAAACGTAGTATTTCCTATTACTCTATATGGCATCATATATTAAACCATAAAAACCTCATGCACTATGTCTGAGTTACAGTTGCTTAGGGAAACATTACTGAATTTCCTGGCTTCTATGCACATAACTTCTCAACCGTAAAGTTACATCACTAGCATTTTTGGTCCCAGTTTTCTTTTAAAAGAAATAAATAAGAATATAATCAGACAGTCCAAAACATTAAGTTTTCTCCAATGCTAAAATACCTGAAAAACTCAAGCAAGCCTTATATCAACCTTTACATACCTGAAAAACTAGTCCTTACTCTATTCCTCTCAGAAACCACTTGTTTCTTTTGAAATGCACACAGCATGTATAAATTCTGACACAGCAGGCATAAGATGTGACATTTTTAAAGGTAGCTACAGAAGAATAACCCAAGTTAAAAACAAGATTTTAAAAGCATGTAATAGTTTAAAATGATGACAAAGTATTCATAAAATTAAATATGACTATCCTGAGTTTTATTAGCCTTCTGGTAATAACCTAGTTTACATGGCTAACTGATGATAATATTTAATCTTTAACTATTCTAATTATTATTCAAAAGCCGATCAAAAGTGTCAATAGTTACAATATTCTACCGTTGCTACAAAGGTATCATTATGGCAAAGGCTTTTCTTTTTTTAAAGTAAACCTTGCCCTGGGATGTTGCAACAAATAAAACTACCAAGTCTAGAACGCCATGAGTTAGCGGATTCAAAAGTACAACAGAACTTCAACAAAGGTAATTTGATTAAGCAAAGCTTTACAAATGCCATATATTTTATGTTTAAAAACCCAGAATCCATTGTATAAAATGTCAATTTGGACAATTAAGACATGATACATTTTTTTTCAGTGCTGCAAACATGACAGCCAAGAGGCCAGAGAGCCAGTTTTCACTATTTATAATGCCAATTAATTTTCATCATCCTCAAACTTTGCAATGGGGATTTTAGTCAAACTTTATCCCTCTACATCCAGCATCCTGAAGCCAACATAAATACCATGTGTGTAAAGGTGATACGACAAAGCCCAGAGCACTTGAATACTCACACCCTCTACTCTAGTCCCAAGTGACAACTCACTTATTCAGATGTCTTTCCAATATGACATAATAGATCCTTTCATCCCCTATCTATGCCCAATCCAAATGGGATGGAGTAGTTACTAGGCAAAATTTATATAACTAGCTGACCAAAAAATTCAATTTGTTTAGCTGGTTTTGACATCTAAAAAAGTTGGGGGGAAAAAAAGCCTATTTATCTGCATTCAGGCCAACATATAAAAACATTACTAAAAATATTCATTTAAGAGCATTTTACATCAAACTTCTCCATAAAGAAGGGAAGTTCTTTGGACAGAGCCCAAAGGGATAAATTAAGAATTATTCCCAGAAAGTGGAAAGACAATAACCCATCAAGAAAAAAAGTAGTATTTAAGCAAATAATAATAGTAATAATAATAATTTCTTTAAACCCTGTAAATATTTTGAAGGCGACTCAGAGATAGTCTGTAAACATCTTAGGGAAAATGACTTGACCACAGATAGAAATGTCCACTCTTAAAGACTCAGGGTGGGCCAGAATCTAAGAAGCTAGTCAATTTGAGCATAAGGGCACAAAATCTTTTTCCACTTCAGTGTGGGGGCATTCTCTATTCATGAAGGAAGCCTGGGTATTAGGAAGCTGTATCCTGATGCTTGGAAGAGCATCCTCTACTTTGGCACTATCCAATATGGTAGCCAGTAGCCACATATGGCTGTTGAACACTTGAACTGTAACTAGCACAATTATTTAAAACTTTAGTTCCTTAGTCACACATTTCAAGTGCTCAGCAGCCACATGTGGCAAGGGGCTACCTTGCTGGGCATTATGGATAGAAAACATCTCACAGAAAGCTGTATTAGGTAGTGCTGTTTGGATCCTCTACTCAACCATGAAAATGACGTTGGAGACCACAATCGAACTTCTAACCTATTTTTAAACTGTGTTAAAAGGCACCATGTTAAATGCTATGGGTAGTACAAAGAAACAAGAAGCCCTAGTTTCTCCCTCAAAACACAAATCTAGTGAAAAAGACAGAACTAGTAAGAATGAAATAAATGCTCAATTAGTATGGGATGGGGTGAGATACAGTGACTAATTCTAATCAACAAAACTGCTATGAGTTTGGTTGGAGTCAGATGATCACCTTCACTTATTAAAGGGCACTGAGGCACTGGGAACTTGAAAGCACAAATTTTGGCATCAGAAGGCGCTGGGCTGATGCTCCAGCCACATGCCCCTAAACAAAGCACTTAATCTCTCCGCATCTTTACATTCTCATCTATAAAATGGGAGATAATAATGCTGGTCTCCTTAAAACATAAAGTTCCATGAAATTAGGATCATGAGATTAGGGTTAAAGGAGCTTGTGTCACAGATGAATGCACTCTCTAAACTGTTCTTTTCCATAACTCAAATAGGGTACAAGGAGGAGGATCTGGGGGCTCCAGGCTCTAGCCCCCACTTGCCCAGAGGGGACCCCTATCTCAGTACAGCACATATTTGTGGAGAGGGGAGTCTCTGCTAGAAGGCTAGAACCGGGTCTCCTGAAAGAATCTTGGATTTTGGTGTCTGATGTAGTCTAGCCTCATGAGTTCTAAGGAATTGAAAACATCACTTAACCACTTAGGTGGGATCTCCATCTCACAGATAGTGGAAAACACATGTAAAGTTACTTCCTATACTATAAAGGGCCTACTGCACAGAGGCTGCCCAAAGTGGTTCTAAGCTCCATTTCCTCAGCTTTCTGCTATGGAATCATTAGGGTAACAGCTGTGAAGGTGCTTATCCTTCCCCACCAGACTGTAAGCAACTTGAAGGCAAAGACCATGCCTCACATTGAGTAATTAGTAGTCCCATTTCACCATTATTTATGAAATGCCTATACTGTGCTTGACACCATGCTAAATGTTCATTTGGATTATCCTGTTTACTCCTTACCACAGCAAGTTGTTTGAGCCTCAGTTTTTCCTCATCTGCAAAGTTCCTACTCCAGAGAACTCTGAGAATTTAAAAAATGACAATGTATGTAAAGATATCAGTACTGCACCTGGCACATAATTAAAGGCACAGTAAATATCAGTTTTCATCACCTCCATTTTATAGGTAAGGAAACTGAGGGTCAGAGAGGCTAGGCTGCTGGGGTCAGTGAATGGCAAAATCAGGCTTAAATTCCAGGCAGATGGCCTCTGGAGTCAACATGTTATTAAGCATCCAACCCAGTGCCTGGCACATAACAGGCTGAGCTCAATGAATGCCTGTCAGATCCTGAGCAGGGTCTAGAATCAATGAAAGATGCATGAGAAGAGGAGCCTGAGAGGTAAGGTCTAGGTAGTGTGGCCCCTTAACAGCTCCATAATGGGGGTAACTGTACCCACTTCACAGAGCTGTTCTGAGGACTAAGTGAGGATATTCGTAAAGGTCTTAGCATAGTGACTGGCACAGAATAAAGGCTCTGTAAGCGGCAGCCATCCTTGTCCTCGTTTTACAGATGAGAAAACAGAAGCACAGAGAGATGAAGAAACTAGCCCAACATCACTCAGCTAATAAGTAGCTAAGCCAGGACTCGATCTAGGCAGTCTTTCTCCAGAGTCCTCTGGTTCTTACTCCAAATGCCCAGCAAAGCGCCTGGCACACAACAGCCTAGGGCCAGTGCCCTCTACAAGGCTGTCGAGATAATAATAGTCACAAGTGTCAGGAGTAGCCTGCGGGGAAAAGGGCTGGATGAACTGGGAGTCTGGGAACTTCAGCCAAGTATCTTAAACCTTCCCGGGCCTCAGTTTCCTTCTCCGAGAAATGGGGATAACACTGTCTCCAACCTCAGAAGCGCAATCAGAGGCCCAGGCTTGGAAAGCAAGCCTCAACTAAGCAGCTAGAGGAGCCTCGGGAGTGGGCTGGGGAGAGGTCAATCCGGGGGAGGGCCCAAGGGGCTGCGCAGGGGGTGTTTACCTTTGCGGAGCTCGCGGTGCCACACAGAGACGATGGGTCCCGCGTGCTTGCGGTGGTGGATGAGCCACAGGGACAGGGTCTGCACGCTCTGTTGAGAGTTGCTCAGCTCCGAGAGCTTCTTCTCCAACGCCGACTCGGAGAAGGAGGACATGGTGGCGGCGGTGGGGCCCTGCAGGGAGCGGCCTGGGCCGCCCAGTGCGGCGGGAAGAGTGACGGCACGAGGCCGGGGCCTCACCTGACTGCCTGCGGGGCTCTTTACTGACTGACAGACGGCCAGGGGGTAAGGAGGGGGAGGGGATGGGTCTCCGCAGTAACAGCCGCCCGCGCCGCCGCCACAAGATGGCCACCGACCTCTCACCCCGCCGCAAGCAGGGTCAAAGGGCAAGGGCCGAAGTAGCTGGGCACCGGGAGGCGTCAGAGCCACAGAAAAATGCCCCTCCAGTGGCGGCGGCCTCCCTGAACCTCGCTCAGGGTACTTCGAAAGCGACAGACTGGGAGGAAAGCGCAGTTCGGCGGCCTCCGGAAGGCGCTTTGACCGCTCGCGCCCGCACGCAGGCGCAATGAGGCTCACCGGAACCCTTTCTCCCGCTCTGGCAGAACCTTTCTGGCGCTGTACGGCGCGCTAGTTAGTACGTCACTTCCGACGGGGTGGAGGAGGCGGGAGAGTGAGGGAAAGGCTGGAAGACGAGGTAAGGGAAGAGTGGCGGGAGCGAGAGGTAACCGAACAACCGGGAGCTCTTAGAGGGGAATCCCGAGGGGACACTGATGCTGAGTGATCAGGACAGGGTACGGGAGGGGGGACTCTCTCCCTCATCTGGCAAGCCCCAGGCCGCACTCTTCTCCGTAGACGTCCTGCTCTCTGGTTGTCCACCCCCCCACCCCCCCGCCAAAAGCTTCCTTTGGTTGTGCCAAGCCACCCACGTGCACTTTTCACGCCTTGGCTCTTGCTGTTCTTTCTCCAAAGGTGACGCCTCCCCCCCTTCTCACCTGGTGTGCTTCCACTCAACCTCCAGGACCACCCTTCAATGTCCTGTTTTGACGTTTAGTCTGTGACAGCACCGCCATAAAACACACCTTTGTGCCCTTAATTTGGTTGCTTCTTTCAGGGAATTACATGCTGCCCTTGCCCTCTTGGGAGTCCATTTGACTGTTTCTGAAATTTAAGCAATATGTTAACTTTTTTGAGGGTGGGGGCAGGGAAGTCAGTGGTTCCATTGACCTTTCTTTGAAACACTATTTGAGACTGTGACCTCTTTGCCTATTTTTTAAAAGTTTTAAATTCCAGTTATCAATTTCTCTAATTCCAGTAGAGAAATTTGTCTTTCCAACTGCTATTGGGTTGGTAGTAGGGAATTAGGTTTTTGTAGACATAACAGTTTTTAAATTTCCTGATTATAGTGGAACTTACCAGTTATGGGCAGACTTCAGTTAAGAGACATTCTTCTAGTTGATGACTGTTTTTTCTCTCACTGCACCGTATTGTAGTTCTTTGCTTAGATGCTTTCACTCCTCTTCCAGACTAGAATCATCATAATCATCATAATCATAGCCAACATAGTGAGCAATTGCTATGGGCTAGACATAGTTTTCACATAGTAACGCATTTAATCCTCATGACAAAGCTGTAAGGCAGTTATTATGTTATTCTCATTTGGCAAATGAGGAAATGGGACAGAGAAGTTAGGCGAACTACCCAAGATCACATAACTAAGATTAGAGGGAAAGGACTGCATCTTCATCTATTTTTCTCATCCTGCCACCTTATTCATAGCTAATTGCGTGAATTAATATAAAAAAGGTGAATGCCCTAAAATCCATGGATTATTTAGAAATGTGTTGCTTAGTTTCCAGGTGTTTGGAGATTTCTAGTTTGATTCCATTGTGGTTGGGGAAGGTACTGTACTCTGTGTCATGGCCCAGGATATGATTTATCTTGGTAAATGTTCTGTGGGCACTTGAAAGGGTATTCTTCTGTTGTGGGTTGGAGAGTTCTTTAAAAATTGATTAGGTCCTGTTGGTTGATGGTGTTGTTGAGTCCTTCTGTTATCCTTGCTGATTTTCTACTTGTTTTACCAATTGTTGAGATAAGAATGTTGAAGTCACCACCTATAATTGTGGTGATCACCCATATTTCTCTTTTCAGTTTTAATGCATTTTTGCTTCACACATTTTGTGGTTGTTTTGTATTTAGGATTTGTGTCTTGACATAATCCATTTAGTATTGCTATGTCTTCTTGATGGGTTTACCCTTTTAATGGTTATAGAATGTCCTTTTCTATCTCTGGTAATTTTCTTTGCTCTGAAGTCTATCTCATGTTAATATAGTCACTCTTGCTTGCGTTTGATTAATGTTTGCATGATAATATCTTTCTGTCTGTCCTTTTACTTTTAACCTACCTATATCATTATATTTGAAGTGAGTTTCTTGTAGACAGCATAGAGTTAGGTCATATTTTTTTTAAAGGATTTTATTTATTTGAGAGCGAGAGAGAACGAGAGAGAGAGAGAGAGCACAAGCAGGGGGAGTGGCAGGCAAAGGGAGAAGCAGACTCCTCGCTGAGCAACGAGCCCGATGCAGGGTCCTGGATCATGACCTCACCCCAGGGTCCTGGGATCATGACCTGAGCTGAAGGCAGACACTTAACTGACTGATCCACCCAGGCACCCGAGTTAGGTCATATTTTGTAATCCACTCTGAAAATTTCTATTTTTTCGTTGGTATACTTAGACCTTCTATGTTTAATACAATTATTGATATGTAGAGCTTAATCTTCCATTTTATTTTTTGTTTTCTGTTTGTTCTGTTTTTGTTTCTCTATTTTCTTTTTCCAGCTTTCTTATAAGTTACTTGAACATTTTTTAGAATTCCATTTTACTTATCTATAGTGTTTCTGAATGTATCTCTTTGGAACCATTTTAATGATTCTTACAGGTATTACATTATTTGTACATAACTTATCTTTACCACTACTAATGAAGTATAACAACGTCACTTCCCTTTATGTCTCCTTACCCTCCCCTATTTATAAGGTAATAGTCTTAAATATTTTTTCTACATATACATTTAGATCCAAATCAGACAGTGATATAATTTTTGCTTCAACTGTCAAACACAATTTAGAAAACTAAAAAGAATAAGGAAAGCCTATTGTATTTATACATATCTTCACTTACCACGTTCTTTCTTCCTCCTTGACATTCCAATATTCCTTTTTTTAATGTGTCCTTTCTGTTTAAAGAATTTCCTTTAGCCATATTTTTAGAGCAGGCCTGCTGGTGTTAAATTCTCTTAGGTTTCCTTTATCTGAAAATGTCTCAATTTCCACTTCATTCCTGATGAACATTTTTGCTGGGTGTAGGCTTCTGTCTTAACAGTTCTTCCCCGCCCCCCACCCCCCCACCCCCAGCACCTGAAAGTTCCCGTGCCACTTCCTTCTGGCGTACATGGCTTCTGATGAGAAATCCATTTTCATTCCAATTGTTTTTCCCTATAAGCAAGGTATCATTTTTCTCTGGCTGCTTTCAAGATTTTTTCGTCATTTGTTTTCAGAAATTTAATTATGATGTCATTATAATTGATGTAAATTTCTTTGGGTTTATCCTGTTTGGGGGTCACTGAGCTTCTTGAGTATATAAATTTATATTTCTTGCCAAATTTGGGGGATTTTCAGCCATTATTTCTATGAGTACTTTTTCAGACCCACCCTTTTTCTCCTTTTCTTCTGGAACTCTTAGATCTTTTGTTATAGTCCTGTGGGTCCCTGAGGCTCTTTTCAGTCTATGTTCTTTCAGTTGTTCAGATTAGGTAATTTCTATTATTCAGTTTTGCAGCTCATAGATTCTTTCCTGTGTCCTCTCCATTCTGCCTTTGAGCTCATCTACTGACCTTTTTATTTGTTATCGAATTTTTCAGTTCTAAAATTTCCATTTTTTTCTTCATATCTCCTGTTTATTTGCTGAGGCTTTCTATTCTTTCATTTGCTTCAAGCAAGTTCATAATTGCTCCTTTTAATCATGGGTGCTTTGGTATCTTTGTCAGATAATTCTCACATCTCTGCCATCTCAGTGTTTGATGTATTGATTGTCTTTTTTCTTTTAGTTTGAGATCTTCCTGGTTCTTGGTATGATGAATGATTTTTGATTGGACATTTTTGCATTATGTTCTGACACTCTGGATCTTATTTAAGCCTTCTGTTTTAGCTGGCTTTCTCTGACACCACTCTGGCAGGAGAACCAAGTGTAGGTAGAAGTCCAGAGCCCTCCTTCAGCCTCCTTTGACACCCAAGGGGAAGGGCTCCTCATTACTTCCCAGTAGAAGTGAGAGTCCCAGCTCCCCACTTGGTATCCACTGCACTACACTAAGGGTGGCCTCATTATCACAGGACAGTAGCAAAAGTCCTAACTGTCCACTAGGCCTCCTCTGACACTACCCCGATGGTGAGGGAAAGGAGTATATATTCTTTTTTTTTTTTTTAAGATTT